TTATTATTAGGTCTTATCAGCATGTTAGTGTTTTAGCGCCTTTAAATGGCCGCTTGCACTGTTTGCTTCCCGGGAAGTTGATGTTGAATGCTCTCAGATCTGCTGGGGTAATAGTATAGATTGTGAAGCGCTTAGAGCTTGCTGTTGCGGTATACAAATGCTATCTATTGTTCTTATTCTTAATTACAATAATTATTATATTATTGTTTTATTTGTGGGGCAAAGGTGTTGGGGTGGATAGTCTTTTCCTGCTTATTGTAAAATCTGTCCAGTAATTAGTTATAACGTCATATGAATATGTGACCAAATTTGGTATGTCATTTACCTTAATATTAATAGTCGTAAATATGATATTGGTACCAGTTTTTGTCATTTGGACATTTACGATTCAAATGGAAATATCAAGAAGAATAAATGTATTTTATTATTTTCTGTGTTTGTCCCCAGTTGGCCTCCTCTATGGAACAAGCTCAGAACAATTTCTCGAAGGTTCCCCTTGCCACAGACGTGGAAACTGCACAACGACTTTTACAACAACATTTGGACATGAAATCAAGTACGTATACTGTGTTATATAATAGTAATATGTGCACCACGCTATACACGCAAACTATGTTATATACGTACATTATGTTATATAAGTGCATTTTGCTATATATAATATGTACATTATGTTATATAAGTGCATTTTGCTATATATAATAATAATATGTACATTAAGTTATATATGTACATTATGCCATATACGTGCATTAGGTTATATCAGAATATGTCCATTAAGTTATACGTAGGTTATGTTATATACGTACATTATGTCCACTACTCGGATGTACCTTTGTTATTGTGTGTTGGGTGTAATCTGTAAGTTAGATGTCAGTCTATTGTGGTGTTTCTTCCACCGTGCGCTGCAGAAGTAGACAGTTTGTGGTAACATCAGCGTTACTAGTTACTTTTTCTTAGTTGCGGTATGTCGATATCATTAGACTGTGTGTCCGTTTGTGTGCGTTTGTGTGTGTGTATGTGTGTTTGTTTATGTATACGTCTGTATTTATTAAAACACCACTGAAACTCCCCTTGTCCTCCTCCTCCCCCCTCCACCTCCACCTGTTAACTGGCACGTCTTGCTTCTGCCCTCTCCTTCTGTTGTTTCTATCTGTCTTATATTTTCCTGGTTTCCTGGCACTAAATGATCGTGATTGTGCCGACCTGCTTCTCTTTACAGTTACTCAAACAAACAAACAAACAGACAGACAGACATACGTACTTTTAGCATTATGTCCACTACT